ATCTGAGATTTAAAAAGCCAGGCTAAAGTGACATTTACATTGGTTTTATATGAGTTGTTTCGTTCGTTTAAGCGAGTTATGGCATATAAAAAGTTTGCGTTTTGAAGTCTTAAGCTTAAGTGTCAAGTAATAAGGTTGGTAAATCACGAACTACTTTATTTAGTCTTAATATAGGGTTAGATATCTCTTTAAAGTGATTTTAACGAGGGTGAGTTGGCAAATGCATGTTCGATGATTTTATACGTGGACGATTTGGCGTGGGCGAATTGACTGTAAACCGTCATAAGCACTTTAATTTTTTTTATGGGCAAGTAAAATAACTCATGATTACAAACTAGAGTTTTGATTTTCCATTGATGCCATGCACTGAAGCAATAATTTGACTAATTCTTCATTACCACCTGTTGTCTCTAATGCTTCAATGAACTTGGGAAAGATGTTTTCAGCTTTATAGAGATGTCGCAGGATCTCACCTTTACTTTCCTCACTTAATGAGCTTTCATTAAGAAACTTCTTATCTAGGACCCCATTAGTTACCAGCCATTTCTTGACAGGAGCCCAATTTTGAATCTTGCATATTTTGTCATGGTTGTCCTCCAAGATTTTTTTGCCGCTTGTAGAAATTGATGAATTGCCTGATTTTAAACAATAAAAAAGTCTTTGTGCTTGGTATGTAATATATACAGTATGAGTGGGCATGTTGTATCAGATATACGAATTCGAGGCGTAGGTGAGAGTTTGTATATCGGATACAACACGGACACAAATACTGTAGATTGCTTGTCAAACGCCTAGGTTAGTTCCTTTGCGTTTCACTAAAATTTTTTAAATCAAAGTGAATCTGGCCAAGAAAATCCAACTTAAAGTTTATTCAAATGAACACAATTTATTTGTATCATATTTACAACACTCTTCACTGTCTTGATTTCTGTTGTGTTTTCCTCATGAATTATTAATGAATTTGACAAAAAATATATACCCCTCCCTAGCAGGATTTTCACAATGCAGGTCACAATTAACAGAGAACAAAAAATGGAATTTTACTGTCACGAGAATTAAGATTCATTGTTTTGTTCTCTGAATTGCAGGCCAGGGTGGATCCAGGATTTTATAAAATAAGAATCCCCTTAACCACCCCTAGATTCACCCCTGAATTGGGCAGCTGTAGAATTAATGCAAAAGGTCTCTTCTATGGTCATAAATGTAACAATCAATAATATTTAAAAATCAACTTGAAGACTGAATATAATGTACCTACCTGCCTTTGGGTTCTTTTGTGACATTTCATCATTTGTAGCATAAAACTGACAGTAAATAAATGAAACAATGTTAATAAGTAGTTGATATTCAAATGTTTGCTTTTTTAAGAAATATTTCAGACCAGCAATATGGTTTTAAGAAATGCCAATTAGCCAATTTTTGGCTCTGTGGAAACAATGTTATTGGTATTTATTATTTTCTTTCCCCAGAACCTTAGTCTCCTGCACAGCCTTGACTCTGATTATTTTGAGCTTGATCACTCAACCAGAAAATGGAAAATTGGCTATTAGAATAATACTTCACTCAGCCTGACAGCAAAACCTTTTTGCCCCATTGGACAACATGTAGTGAGATATCATATTATAGACCACATAATATCATTGTATTTGCCTAGGTAATAGACCTTTCCCTTGATATACATTATGGCCAAGATGTTTACCATACTTACTGAACTTTTACCTTTAATTGCCCATGCTGATATATATTGTACCATAAATAGTAACTCTTCCTAAAGCACAATTTATTTGTCTAATCATCCAATTCAATAACATCATGGAAATAATGTATTTGCATTTAAACTGAGGTTTGACAGTACATTGTGCATCTTATGGTTCAATGTTGGGGAAGGCCTATTGGCATGGGCAAGCATCAGTGCCAAATACTAAAATATAGTAAAACTGAAATATAGTAAAACCCGTAGAGGAGTTAAAAGGAGACTCTGCTCGCAGGGTAACAGTACATCTAATGATGATTTAAAACTAATTGAAGGTACCATTTATTATTTACACCAAGGCTGGCAAGATTCTTTCAAGCAAAATGAAAAACATCATGACCATGCTCCTCATAAAAACAGTTTTTCCTCCATTTTATTAGTAATTCTCTATTTGTGCATGACCCATAATGCTTTGCACCTTGGGGTAACCAATCAAAAAACTGTCCCAAATTGAAGCCTTTCTTAATTGAATTCATACTTTAACTGCTTTTATCTGCACAATACTGATTATCAGTTTATTCCAAGTTAATTTTGCACGTACAGATCATCAAAGGGTTTAGTGTTAACAGAAAATGTATTGACTTATGAAAAAAAAATTAATTTACCTTAAAATAAACTTCTTAAAGCTTCTATCTTTTTCTGTTTTTTACTTCTTCATTTTTATTTTTGGACATCAAACAAGGTATTTTCAACATTGTCTGATCAGCCTTCAGCATAATAAGTGGGTTTTTACTCGCTCTGGTTACCCCCCAGAGATGCAAAGTATATGGGTTAATGGGAAAGTAGAAAATTCATTTCTGATTCCCCCTTTCAATATCTTGAATTTTTGATGCCCCTCATTCTGCCAAACTGCACCTTGACATAAATAATGAATGATCCCTAAAGTGAGAGTTATTAATTCTTACACAAGCTGGAAAATCTTTCTCCACTGTATGGTTGCCAATTATTATCTCAGTGCCATTTTGATCTGTTGTTTTAAGAACCACTTTGAAATTGGTTGGCGTTCGCATCTGGGATGTTGTTTTACAAAGAAGAGAGAATGTCACACAGGCAGGTAGGTCAGGGTCGTGAAGTCGCATCTCGTGTGCAGTTGTTCCATCTATGCACCTTCTACTTTTTTCTTTAATATCAGGAATCGAAACCAAAACCTAGTGAATTAATTTTTAAGGTATTATTTATTATAAAGTAAATGTTCAGTTTGAAGTTTTACAAAATCACATAATGGCTAATATTAAAGTGATCTTTTCATTTCTGATGTTCATTTTGATGCTCTTTTTAAGGGAGGTAGGGTCATGTGACCTCATAGTATGCAAGTCTGACTTCATATTTTTTTGCTTTTTACCTTGTTATGGTCAAAACAGACACAAGAAATTTTGCTATTTACGTTGACATTTAACTTTATGTATCCTTGGCCACATAGTGGAACTTGAAAGGTATAGTTGTCACCATCTGGAGAAACTTCCAGGAATGGAACTAGTTTTTCAAATGTTTTTTCACTCCTTATTTTTTTGATCTGAAATGAAAGGTGTTTTTTCTTAGAGTATAAAATCGTGCACCCAGCAAGGACAATGGATAGATACAAGTTGATAAACTCATTTTATGTTTATTCATTCATTCATCCATTCAATTCATCCATTCATTCATTTCTTTACTTAGTTATGTATGTACGTAAGATTTTAGAGGATTGGATAATTAAGATCTTTAATTCGGTCAAAAATTATCTCCCTCAAGATATTGTTTTTTATTGCAGTTCTTTGATTGACGGTCTTTGAAATGCTAGTCAGCAAACAAGACATTAAACTTTGCAGGTCGCACTGCAAATAATAGTAGTAATCTATTGTTAAGTTGGAATGATAAAAGTATAGCATACCTGTGTTTCAATTTCTTGTCTTGTGCCATATAGGAAGAAAATGTCGAAGTCTAGTTGCTGTGAATTCCCCTGTCGAACCAGCTGGCACATAAGAACCTTGCAACACTTTTCCTGTTCCTCTGTGAATTTTTAAAAACAATAACAGTTAAGTGTTTCCATTTGCAAAACTGTTTACATGTGGTTTAAAACCAAAAATAAAAATTACCTTGATGAACATCTGGATTTTGGCATGTTCCTCCCTTTTCCTCAACACTCAATTTGGTTTCTTCAGAGTCATTCTTCTGTTGGTTCCCCTGGTTATCTTGAAATGGTGGACTCATTCCGGTCAACTAGAAACAGTCAGAGTTTCACATGATTGCATTGAAAAGATGCTATCAAGTTATTTTAATTACTTAGATTGATAGAAAACATAAAAAATAGAGTGCAAACAATAACCGTGAAACTTTATTAATACTAAATAGCACAATTTCATGCAAATTCCATCGTTTTCTATTGTTTAATTAGCACTATCTTGGGTATCTTGTACTATTTACTAAAAATAGTGTTTCACAGATTAATTGTTAAATGTTTGCACTCTAATATACTTTTTATCTTAAACGTATAATTGGAGTTTATTTAATATGTACATGTAAGGTCCATTTGATCAAAACTTTGGAATTACAAAGGAAATTAGACTTTGTAACAAATTATCAAACAAGTAGGATTTAATATCATGCAAGTAGGAATATGAAAAGCAAGCAGAAAACGGGGAAAAGTATGGATTGATTGGGAAAATAGAAAAGCAGACAATTCGATTCGGCCTGATCATAAAATCATATTATGTAATTTGGATGAACTATTCTTAGTTTACGACCATCTAAACCAATTGTTTTAATATGTACTTAAAATTATATAAGTATTAATCGAGTATAAACACAACGTTTATTAGGCTAGTTAGTGAGCACTTTAGGATAAAGTGGACACTGAAACCCTATGTTACATTTTTTCATTGCACTAGGTACACCATCATGGCGGACGAAATTCTAAAGGCTTAAAATGATGGAATATTTAATATGTTTGACTATTTTTCACTTACACATACTTTAAATAGATATTTTAAACGTGTCTANAATTCTTTTGTCAAAACCACTTGCAATCTGATTCATAGCTGAGCGCCTTGCCGCCGGTTACATTTACAGCCATCTAAAACACGTTTTTAGACAGTCGCAAAGTAAGAATAGTTCATATCCAAATCACGCTATATGGACCTTTTGTGGGAAAACATATGGACTGATATATATATTTATGATCAGGCCATCGGAATCGAGTCAACAAGCTAATTTATTCTACGCAATGACCTTCAAGCCATACATCAAACAGATTTGTAAAAACAAAAAAAATATATCGTTTTATACATGTACCTATATAATTATTCAGAAATTGTCTGCTTTTCTATTCCCCAATTAAGCCATACTTTTTCCCATTTTCCTGGCTTTTCATATTCCTCCTTGTACGATAATTCCTATGTAATTGTATGATACTTTGTTACAAAATTCCAATTTGTAATTCCAAAGTTTTGATCAAATGGACTTTACATATACATTTTAAATAAACTCCAATCTGTAGTGTACATTTAATATAAAAAGTCTAAATATTGTAAGAGTATAAATAGAATGTTTATTAGGCTGGCTAATGAGCACTCCCCCGGGGAAACCCTATGTTCCGGAATGAAATTTGGAATAAAAGTTTAAAAACAAACCAGAAATTATTACTGGCCTATTTAGTACAAGTTTTTTTAAAAACAAGTGTCAATCGAAACGTTTTACATCCATTATTCAGGCTTTTTTATTTTAATCTGAGATTGACTCTGAGTGATCTGTTTTGGTATAAAACAATACTAACAGTTATCTCTAACGGTTATGTTTTCTTCACGTGAGAATTCGATAATAGTGTTTTAATCGAAATGGCTTTAAATGAAGTGTTTTCTTAGATCACGAGAACTAGTCCGAACTACCTTATAGTCCAGTATTTCGCATGATTGATATTTAAAAGACATAATCAAAAATATTTAATCTTTTGCTTTTTAAGTTTACTGTTCGATTCCAGTGAGTTACAGAGGCTGACTATTGGTCCAGTCGTTTTCGCTAGCTAGAATATATGACATATATATAACCATTTTTTTAGAGTAAAGACTTGGTAGACAAATCATAAGCACAACCGATACATGCCTATAAAGATCAGACTAGCTAGCTAATCTTGCCTCGACAAGAATGACTCGATCGGCTCAAAAACGTCACAAAACATTGAACAGAGGATTCTCCACCTACAGAAAAAATTTAATCGCGAAAATTTACCTCAGAATGGAAATATAACGAAAAACGTATCTCTAGCAATATCATGGCGTCGGAAACCGTGAACTTGTCTAATAGACTAATGGTCGCTCGGCGACTCGCTCAGGCTTTCCTTCTAGCAGGTTAGCGAGTCGAACTTCGAATGTCAGAGAGGAAATGGACTACCCTACTTGCAGGAAATATTATTACTGGCTTATATAGTATATAAGTATAGTATATAAGTCCCTAATGAAATGGGTACCGCATTCTCTTCGCGAAAAATATCATTCTTACATGCTGAATATACTTACATGTTTCGACTGTGGCCAGATATTTAGGGTGGTTTTTTTGTGTGCATATCCAAATATTGAATTCAAATAGAGAGCAGAGCATGAAGAGCACGGCCAGGGAAGCTTTTCGGTCAAGTTTTTAAACTGTTTCACTGATCGCTTGACTATACATGAAGAGCTCCTTCCACGACCACAATCGGAATAAACTGCCTGATGCTTTACATTGTCAGGAGAATTATATTTTCGTTATCCAATCACAACCCGCTTGAGAAAATGAAAGTGAAAGGGTCCACGAAGCGCTTCTGTACATATTTTGACTTTTTTGAATACAATCTTAGCCACTTTAGAGGATTAAGCTTTAGAAAGAGTACAGATTTAATAATGAAGGCTTTTTCATAAATGTTTTTTGGCAAAAAAATGCTTTTCCCTTATTTTTTACAAAGTTAAAGCCGTCGTTTTGTACTCGAGCACTGGCTTCAACACGAATGCTGGCCATGAGATACGGGGAATCCCCTTAAAAAAAAATCCCTCTTTTTAATAATGCAACTAAGCACATTCAAGGTAATGGTGTAATCTCTATTATGTAGCGGCTCTCGGTGTTGGGGTAAAGGGGGGTGCACTCAGTGATGGTGTCATACAGGTACGCTAACATTATCTACCCTTTCCTTCAAAACAAACACATAATCCTGTCCCTTTTAACCACTGCTTTACCCCCCTTGCTAGTATCTAGAAAATTCTATATTATGTTCTTGTGTGTGCGCTTGGAGACCAGTATTTTTACTGCATGAATCATGTTCTTTTCACGTGATTCCACACTGATTAAATACCGGAGGGGGGGGGGGGGGGGGGGGGGGGGGGATGAGATGACTGACGGATTTATTGTGACAGGTTCTTATAATGATCGAACTAACTCAAAAAATAAAATGTCTTCAAGGGAGTCTAAGTGGGTTAAGCAAGAAATTAGAAGATTTCTCAGGTTTTTTTAGCCAGTTTTTCTAGCCTTGTCTCATACATACATCATCAGGCCCCCGGATGAAGCCTACTCGCAGAAGTGCTCTCTCCTTTTGTTTTACAAACAGCAACTTAAGATGTAAGCCTTTTTTAAATAAAATTTCATAAAATGAAACAGGTCATCTGTTTGTCAGTGGACATTCAGTGTATCTTTTAAATTATTTCTATTTCGAAAGCGTTGTCTAGTATTATCAACGTAAACGTCTAACCAGAGTTAAAACATTGAAATTCGCGCACAAGTGGAAACATACGGTACTGTCATTGAAATGGCTTCCCAATGTCTTTAAATTAGCTTCCAGTCATCCAATTTAAGATACGGTATACAGTAAGATTTTATCGTTTCAAACTCTTACGAAAAACTTTTAGGGAATTTTCTGACTTGTCAGACACGTCACGTCATGTGATTTTATACTTCCTGCTGTCTTCTGAGAACTCACTGGTTGACTTAGTTGAATTAGGTACACATGATTGGCCAAGGTAAGCCAATATTGACACTTGAACAGCCCGAGGGTCAAAACGTGTCTTAAAGCATTTTGCAACTAAGCACTTTTTAGTGACATAGCTGTTTGACAACGAATCTTTTTGGACTTGAAACGCTTGGCGATRAACGACGGCCTAAAATAGGTAAGTTGAATCTAAACTCTTTTATTGCAAAAAGTTTTGATCATGGGTTCCCTTTCTTGACTTGGGCTATACAAGTATACAAGGGCCTCGAGACGCAGTGGTCTGGCTATTAGTATTCCTCGCACAGAATCTATTACTCGGTTAAAATTCAGAAGCTTAACGGACATATGTGTGTAGTTGCAATGATAATATACAAATTATTAAAGTAACTCAGTCTTGATCGTAGAGGCCAAAGTTC